CCCTGAAACCCACTCCTCTCATTCCCAGAAATCACTCCTCGACGATTTTTCATTTTCGAGAAAACTCCATATATTTTTGCCTGGTGCTAGTGGTGGATATAGAGCTGGCGCTGGTGGAGGATTGGGAGGAGGTGCAGATGGAGATGGTGGATTTGGTAGTGGTGGACAAGGTTTTTACTTGTTCCAGCAATTTGTATGAATTGAAAAGCATTCTTTACGATAGATTCATTCCATAACCAGAAAACATAATACTCGGTCCTTCAATTCATTTAATTAAACACTATGAATTTCTTCAAATCCATTCTGTCAGAGGATTCAGATCCTTTAAAATGTGAAAACCCCCATGACCCGAAATCGGAATCCCTACTGTAGAGGAATAAGGATCCAGATGATGTCGATCAGGATCCAGTTCACATAGACCCGCCACCCAAAAGCCCTTCTGATTCATCTAGTGATGGTGGCGGTGGGTGGAGTTTTGGGGGTCTGATCAAGACTTTTATGACCCAATCCGAGTCGGTGCTGGAGACATACAGGCGGGATCTTAGGGAATTCAGATCAGGTCTTAGGAAGGAGTCGGAGGTCATTCGAGAAGTCGCCGCCACGTTGTGAAGGACATTGTGTCTCTTTTTTTAAGTTTTTGTTACTTTTTAAGAATATAAAAAAAGTGAAATAATATGTTATATTTTCCTAACATAATCAGCATGTCGATTGGTCTGAACGTGCTGATTATTTTAAAAACATGATTACTTGTGTTGCACAAATGGATGGTGCTATTTTGGTATTTGTCATTTTTTTGAGTTTGTATCACTTTTTTTTAGTTTTGTCACTTTTTTTTTTAGTTTTGTCACTTTTTTTAAAAAAGTAAAAAATTGAAAATTTTTATAAAAAAAAATGAAATTGTATCACTTTTTCATTTTACACAGTATTTTTTACTTCCTAAAAACCTTTCATATGATTTTTCAAAACATCCCTAATTTTAAGGATATTTATAAGTACTCGTGGTAGAGTACTAGTTTAGGTGATCTCGATAAATTTAATTAAATAAATCGTGTGATATTACATTTAAGTGAATCAATATTTATTATTTAATGTCATGCAATCGTCGTCAACTCATTTTAGCCAATCAGTTTGCATCGTTTTCTGATTGTACTGTCCACCAATGATCCTAGTAAAATGCTCTGCGTCGCATGCGAACACCTTCTCGTTGCCAAAAAATGCGTCACCAATTTCTATCTATGGGGAATTAGTTCTATTAGCCAACCCTCAATATATTTTTGTCCAAAAGGCCTTTGACCAGATTCTTCAAAAAAAAAAGGAAATCTAATTATTTAAAAGTGTTAAAATACAACTTTACCCTTCTTTTGTAAAGAAAATTTCAAAGAAATTTTTGAAGGTTCAAGGTTTTGAAAATTCAACCTCTATGGAAAAAAATGCTCCCCACACCACTAGAACATTGAACAATATCATTTATTTATTGCAATAACCTATATATAAATCTTGACAAATTATATTCAAATTTACAAGGTGCAAGAATTTGAACCTTCAACCTTTAAGAAAAAAATTATTATAATGTTATTCTCACCACTAGGACATTGAACATTGTTGTTTATTTTGTTGCAATAACTTACAT